AATCCCCACATGACCATCATGCATTTTAATAGATCCAATGCTTATAAAGTCATTCGATTTATTCTTATTCATCAAGATTTTCCTCCCATCCAAATTATGATAAATTATTAACTACTCTATCTCAGACTCATATGATAAGTACAACCAAAATCAATATTTCATTCAAGAAATATTAACACTATCATAATTATTTCTAAAGATCGATTCATCTCTTTGAGATTGAAAGCTTTCTTTAGATGTTTTTCTTGATAAAGCTTTTGGACATGGCCATTCTTGTTGCATTGCCAATACTTTATATTTTTGTAATATATCCTTGAATGTGATCAATCTTTGCTTTTGGACTTTTCTTTCTTGAAACTAATCTCTCTCTTTTGAGACATTCCACGAATATGCAAACATTCACCATGATTGCTATTTCAAAGATTTACATATCCAAGATCTTTGAAGAGATATAATTAGGGTCATAATTAACATTATTGGTTTTCCTTCTATACTTTAAGGTTACTTTGAAATTCTTTGATGACTTGGGCAATGAGGTAAGAAAAACGATTGTCATATCTTTGCCTTCAATCTTCATCTTTAGGTTCTCTAAGTGCAATTATGGCTTGTTAAACTCATCTAAGTTTTCATTAATCAACTTACTATCTTTCTTTCTACAACCAAGAATTTCGCGTTCAAATATATTCAATTCATAAGCGTTTTCTGCCAACACTACTCATATTTCTTCCATAATTTAAAAACTATTTTTACATGAGATATCTTTCTTAACACTAGATCTTCAAGACAGAAGAATATAGAACTTGAATACTTTTTTTTTTAATGTTCCCCTTCTCTTGATTGGACATTGTTGTGGGCAATTTTGATTTAAGTAACAAGGCTTTTTTCACCCCTTGTTGTATCATGGTTGCCTCAATTTTCATCTTTAAAAAGTTACCATTATTCTTTCCATCGAGTTTCCTTATATTGAACTTTATCACTCTTGACAGAAGCTTAGCTTATAAATTTAATAAATTATAAATTACTTATATCATAATGTCATATCATCATTTATCAACTTTTTTTTTTGTTTCATAGTGTACTATCATCATTATGCATTTCATAATATAAGAATCCATATCATCAATACAATGGTTCAACAATATGAAGGTCGATATTATGTATGTCAAAATATAACAACAAGATGGAAATTACAACAATCATATCATAATAGAGAGCATTCACACCAAAATAAGAATAGCTAGAAAATTGTCACACATCACATGAGAGACATGCTACACTTTGGATTATAGACTCCCAAAGTTCAAAGGAAAAAAAAAATGTGAAATTGCTCCAAAGCTCTTCTAGCTTTTTCAACAAACTCAATTATATTCTCCATGATGAACTTTACTAAATAAAATATCTCTCCTCACTTCGAAGCCTTCCTTCTTAAAGAAAATCCTGAAGAAATCATCAATGTACTACACTCAACAAAGCATTTCAAGAGAAATTATAGAACTTGGGTGAGATAACTTAGGGCAACTCAATCAATTGATGATTATATTTTTGGAATTATAGTTTTTAATGTTCTTTCCTCTCTTGAGCTATTTGCACCTCCTTCTTCTATGATTTCCACTACATCATAAAGTCAAAGATAGAACAAATTTGCAATCACATATGAAAACATGGGTGATTTCATTATTAATGAATTATTGCATGCACATTAAACTTTTTTTTTTTCATTTCATAGAGTAATTACCAAAATACAATAAATGAAATTTTATTCATGTTGTATTATGGATTGTTTATCTAAATTGAGAACTGATATGTCACAAAAAATTGTCTTGATTGTGCACAAATTTCTAGGCATATTCAAGTTTGAAACAAGTTTGAAACTTCCAAAATTAATTTTGGGACCATCTGAACTCTGATTTTAGTAAATTTATAGTCAAACTGAATGTATCAAAGAGACGAACTCAATGACACCAAAATCGGTACAATTTGAGCACAAATGGGTCTGAATTAAGAGTCTGAAGCTTATTTAGAAGGTTCATTCATTAATTGTATGCCAAAATTATATCCAAATATAGTATGCTTATTGCGAATTGAGCGACTCAACAAGACGAATCAAATGAGCACAAGATCATTGATTTCTGATATCATTAAGGCGCTTAAACACTTGGAAAATGCTCTATGATCGGGGGAATCAATATGGGCCATCTGATGGAGCACTCTGAACTTGCACCGAATCTTCTTTATATTTACGAGGTGTACTGTTCACAAAAATCTATAATTAGACCTCCATTATCTACATGAGGGGGGACCTTGGGCCATATATTAGAGAGAGCTCTGAAGCTTCGAGAGCTCCAACACCACCGTCGGTGAACCTCCGTCGACTGTTGTTGAACCACCCCTCGGTCACTGGCAGTCGCTGGACTTCCACTAGGTCGTCAATCACTGCTAGAGTTCCACTCAGCCTCCGAATTCAGCCAGACGTCTACCTGACCATTGTCGGACCATCGCCCAACAACCGACTACTATGGACTTTCACCCACCCATCAACCAATATCAAACTTCCACCCGACCATCACCAGACAACCACCCGGCTACCGACAATCATCGAACTTCCATATAGTTGTCGACCACTGTCAAACTTCCGCCTGACCATAGCCAGACCACTACTCGGCTATCGACTGTCGTTGAACTTCCACCGAGCCATCGACCATTGTCAGACTTCCAGCTGACCATCATCGGGCAACCGCTTAGCCATCGATAGCCGCCAGACTTCCACATAGTCATCAACCACCATCAAACTTTTGGCCAACCATCATCAGACCACTGCTCGGCCATCGACCGTCGTCGAACTTCCACTTGATCGCCGACCACCACTAGACCTTCTCTTACGACCACCCATTATTGGTCCTCTGTTAGGCCACCAAGTTTGGTCCCTCCGATCACAGCCGCTCTCTAACAATGGTCCTTTCGACCTTATTCGCCCACCGACTATAGTCACTCCGACCTCCATCCCCCACTGACTATGATCCCTCTAACGGTCCATCCGACCAATGTTGCCTGCCAAATATGGTCCCTTTAACCACCATCGCCCGCCGACTATAGTCCATCCAACCTCCATCTCCCCGTTCGACCATCATAGGATAATCGCTGCCGTCTATAGCCACCAGAATTCCACATAGTCATCGACCACCATCAGACTTTTGCTTGACCATCGCCAGACCACTGCATAGCCATCGACAGCTGTTGGACTTCCACCTGACCACCACTAGACCTTCTCTCACGATGAACCATAATTGGACCTCCGCCAGGCTGCCAAGTATGGTCCCTCCGATCACCATCACTCGCTGACAATGGTCCCTTCGACCTTCGTCGCCCGCCGACTACGATTCCTCCGATGGTCCATTCGACCAACGTCACCCACCGACTACAGTCTGTCTGACCTGCATCTCCTCGATTATGGTCCCTCTGATGACCATCACCCGCCAACTACTGTCTCACCGACCTCTGTCACCCTCAAACTATGATCCTTCTATCTTCATTGCCCACCGACTATGATCCATTCGACCACCATCACCTCCGACTATAATCCATCTGACAACCATCGCCTATCGACTACGATCCCTCCATCCACCACCGCCAGTTGACTGTGGTCTCTTCGATCTCCGTTGCCTGCTGACTACAGTCCCTCGGACCACCGTCGACCACTGATTACGGTCCCTTCGACTATCATCGTCTGCCAACTACGATCGCTTAAACCTCGATCAACCATCGACTATGGTCCCTTAGATTTCCATCGCCCGCTGACTATAGTCCCTTCGGCTTCTATCGTCCACCAAATATGGTCAGTGCCTGCCAACTACGATCCCTCTGACCAACATCGCCTACCAAGCGCGACCTCTTTAATCTACTTCCCGTTGACCGATGACTAGGGCCCCTCTAACCACTATAACCTGTCGACTATGATCCTTATGACCTCTGCCACTTGCCAACTTCAGTCGCTCAAACCACCGTCGCCCGTCAAATACGGTACCTCTGATCAATGTCTCCCGCCGACTATGGTCCCTCCGACCAACATCGCCTGCCGACTATGATTTCTCCGACCAACGTAGACCGTTGACTACAGTCTCTACGACATCTATCACCCACTGACTACGCTCGTTTCGACCATCGTTTCTCGCAGACTACCATCCCTCCGACCTTCGTCGTCCGCCGACAAAGATCCCTACAACCTCCTTCGTCCTGCCAACCAAATAAACATGTCACCTTTCTCTTGAGAATGACTCCCTCACCATTGGATTCTTCCGACCAACACCATGTAATGCGCTCTATATGATATATATTTACTTCATCATGCCAAGGCCTTACCCATTAAAAGGTCTCATTTGTAATCAACAATAAATACTATTGGAATCATTGTAACAGGATTTTTCACGTAAAATCATGATGTCTCTTATGACTCTAGCATCCTTTCCTCTTATCTATTTGTGTGCTTGATCTTCGTATAAAGCTTGAATGCTAAAGTTATCTCTCTACTACCGTGAATATTTCAATCTGAAACAATAACAATCATTGCATAGTGTTAATAAAATTATGATGTTTAATCCTTCATGCACAAAGCAACTATTCTTGTACTTTTGTTTAATTTTATTTTTTTAATAAAATTTTGATCATAAGTCATAAAATATAAAAAAATACTAGGAGGAATGTTGAGTCAACTAATCCAACAACTTAATGGAGTAGGATCGATCAAACGGAGGCGCATGGCCTCGATGCAACCACCCTATATTCATCCATAAGGAGAAGGAGAATTATATTTATCAGTTACAAATATAAGAAAATATTTAAAAATCTTATATATATATATATTATTTAACATATTTTTCTTCATTTAGAGAGTTGAAAAATAAATCAAAATTAAGCTAACTATTAGTCAAACGCCCCTAATACTTTCAACGTGGATGAATAATTTAATGGTTAATACGAATTCTTTAATCCTAATCTCCGTTATATTGCCATTTGTGCGCTGCATTTATCTCCGTCCCTGCATGCAAAGCTTCGCCCCGCTGGCTTCGCTCCTCTTGCGTTCAACTCGCTCTCGCCAAAACCGGCAGTCTCGCCACCGCCGCTGCAGTGAACTGTGTGATTTACGGCTGTGGCTCCCTTGATTTTGCCGTTAACAGCCGCAATCTTCTCTGCGAATCACCCGCTCTGACCGCCACGCACGCCGCCTGAGATGAAGGCCAAGGGTCTTCACCTCTTCACTTTTGAAAATAAAAGGTGAGCCTCTTTATATTTTCCACGTGTAGGGTTTATGATTTCCGACTTTTGCGGAATGCGGTTCGCGATTCCGTGATTGGAATTCTCTTTTTGTGGATATCTGCGTAGTTGCGATCTGTGGGTGTATCGTTAATGTGGTTCGCGGTTTCAGTGTTGGCGGGACCCGATCGGGAAGCGCCGGCACGGAAGTTCGTGTTTTAGGTGGCATGCTGGGGGTTAACGGGCTTGGATCGCGCGATAATTGTGGTGTTTAAGTTGATTCATCTTGCTAAACGCAATTAGGTTGAATGTTTAGCGGAAATTTTTATATGTTCAATTGTTTCTGATAAAAGCTTCACGGAAATATTTGTTTTTCAATTAAATTTGGGTTTGATGCCGGTCGATTTTGTGAGGGGTTTTGATTGTTGGATTAGTTTTACGCTATTACTCATGTGATGATCGTAGATTTGATCAGGGATGCATATGGATTTGTGGTGCGACCTCAGCACTTGCAGACATACCGAGAGTATGCAAATATCTACAAGGCAATGCTTCCTCTAGCTATACTTGATTTTGAAGATGTTTTTCGGCTGTTCTGGCTCAATTTTCTTGTTCGTTGTTATGCTTCCAGGAGGAGGAGGAAGAAAGATCAAATCGTTGGAAGGAATTCCTTGAGAGTCAGGGAGTTACGGACAATGCACCTGCTGCTGAGGAAAGTGAGATTGCGTCACCTGTTGCTGCAGCAACTAGGTTGGGTGATGATCAAGGTTATATTGGACATAGAAAAAGTGTCGGCCCTGAAGAAGGTGATGAGCAAATGGAGCAAATGGAACAGAAGGAGATGATGCATAAATCCCCGACTTGGTCTCAGATAAGGCCTTCTCTTACTTTGATCGAGCAGTGGATGAGCGCTCGTGTAAAGAAGAAGACATTCTTGTTGATTGACAAGGGAGATGCAGAGAGAAGCGCAAATGGAATCGTTCATATTCAAGAGGCAAAGCCTTTGGAGGATTCTGAGGACGAGTTTTATGATGTAGAGAGATCAGAAATGAACCAGGAGGTGTCTTCTGGTTATGGAAGTGGCACTGATTCAGCCGTCAACATGACTAATCAGGGAACGCAACCAGAGTCTCCAGTCCCTTGGAAGGAAGAGCTGGAGTTTCTTGTCAGTGGTGGTTTGCCAATGGCCCTTAGAGGAGAGGTGGTACTTTTACGTCCAATCCTGCTGTCACTCTAGGTTTGATGTCTGTATTCTAAACAGCTATATTTATCTTGCTTTGTGGCCACAGATATGGCAAGCATTCACAGGTATAGGAAGGCGCAGGGAGGAAGGGTATTACCAAAATTTGCTGGCTCTAGAAACCAAAAATGTTGAGAGCAACGAAGTTGATGGTTTTTCTTCAAATGATGTCAGTGATGTCCCAAAGAAACCTAATGTGAGTCAATCAGAGAAATGGAGGAGACAGATTGAGAAAGTAGGGATTTTGAAGCTTTTGACTGGTGTTATAAGTTAGAAACATTGCAAACAAAACATCAGCTCTAGAAAATTCCTTTTGCATAATATTCGTTTACTTTCAGGACTTGCCAAGGACATTTCCAGGACATCCTGCTTTGGATGAGGATGGAAGGAATGCTTTGAAGCGGCTACTCATAGCTTATGCTCGTCATAATCCATCTGTTGGTTACTGCCAGGTAGAACAGTCATTCATTGTGATTTTTAATTGAAACTACCTCCATCCAATTGCTTTCTTAGTAGTTTTTTTTGTGAAAGTTGCAAACTGCTTTCTTGTTACACAAGCATTGCTTTGAGCCAAGTAATCATTTCAAGCATCCGCTTTTACTTTTTCTTCATTCACACAGATCACGTCTTATTATTTAGCATATTCAATATATGTGACTTCATTTTTATTCACTTTATGTCTTGTAAGTTAGCAGATTCAATATATTTGATGTTTTCTTTTGGCATTGAAGGCAATTTTGCATGATATTTGCTTTGTTATGAGAGAAAACGGCAGAAACTGTAGTTAAGGCTAGCACCAAGCATAAATCCAGCTGTGAATTAAGGCTAGCCCTCCTTAGATCAAAGCTGCCTCCTTCACTAAAGACTTTTGCAAAAGACATCAACAGACAAGCCAAGGATTTCAGTTACACGCAGAATCAGCAAAAGGCTCCTAAAAACCATGTCAAGGATTTCATCTATAATGCGGAATTAACCATAGAAGACCATGCAAAAAGAGCTCAATTATAAGCAGAAAAAGCTGCAATCTTCCAAAACTCCAAACTACTATCTAGTTTAGAACAACAGTTTTAAGAGGGAAATCAGAGAATGCAACTTATTTTCATAATTAGGAACAACATAGGCATACCTTATTGAAAAAAAAAAAAAAAACACCACAAAGTTCTACAAAATACATTGAATACCTTACAACAACAAAAAAAAAAATCTTTCTTTCTGTTCATTTGTCTTAACGCACATGTCTTGTATTTTCTATGACTGTAGATTTTGCAATTTGTATCACTTGAGGGAGTTGACGTACTATAAGATATGAAAGAAGACTACATTACGATTTTCTAGCTACTTCATCTACTTTTTATGTATTTATTTGTCATGAAGAAAAAACATATAGTTTTTTTAGGATTATTTTATTAGTAGGATGTTATCTCGTTTATGTAGAATTATCTTGTTTTGAATTTGAAGTAGATTGTATTTTATGATGTAATCTTATTCGAAAGGCGTGTAATTATCATATTAATTGAATTGAATTGAAAGCAAATTCCTCCATATCTTAATTCTCTCCTCTCTTTGCACCTCTCTCTCAATTTCTCTCCATCGAGAATCCCAGGATTAATTTCTCCTCTTACATGATCTCTCTTGGTTTCTTTGTTTTGTTGAGAACCTAAGAATCTATTTATCCTCTTACTTGATCTACCTCATATTCTTTCTCATGTGCTCCTAATCAATCCTCTATAATTAATGGTTGACTCATGTATTAAATAAACAAATAAAATGCATTTCTAAGGATGAAAGAAATCAAAAGTTAGATGTCCATCATGTAGGAGCCATCAATAATTGAACTTGTTGATTTTAAGAAACATTTCAAAGTCTGAAATCTAATAAAATTTGATAAACTTCTAATAATCATGCTTGTATGATTTATCATTTAATTTGTTCAAGAATAAAAACTCAACATTGCTATGTTGTTGATATCACTGTTACAGATGGTTCTACAGCTGGGGCATTATTTTTTAGCTTATGGTATTCTTTTTATTCATATAAAAATCTTATAAGCACTTGTTAAATTTATTCTTTTTGTTGCTTTGTAGGCTATGAATTTCTTTGCTGGTTTGCTATTATTGCTAATGCCCGAGGAGAATGCATTTTGGTATGTCAATCTAGTTTTTGCATGTAAGGATGGAATGCATAGGTTTTGCAGAAAAAAGAGATTACAGTTGATTTATATTATGTTGTTCAATCTTCGACTCTCAAATAATAAATGCTTTTTTGTTCTTGTAGGCTAGCCGTTCTGCTAATCCTTTTGTTATGTTTATTTTAGGACATTAATAACCATTATTGATGATTATTTTGATGGTTACTTTTCTGAAGAAATGATTGAATCTCAGGTAATATCTCATTTTACATCTTTCTTAGAGTCCAGAGTATAATATTATCTTGGTTAACCTATTGAATGTTCTAAGTTTTTTAGGCTAAGGATTTATTAGATACAATTTAAAACCTACTAAATATAACACTTTTCAGGTGGATCTGCTTGTATTGGAGGAGCTAGTTCGTGAGAGATTTCCGAAGTTATGTAAGTAATTTACAAATAAATAGTCTAAATTCATTTTTTTTAAAATTTTTCATAATTAGACTTGTGAGTTGGGTAATTATGCATTTATGCTTCTATGCAGTCAATCATCTCGATTATCTTGGGGTGGAGGTGCCATGGATTGCTGGACCCTGGTTCCTTTCAATATTTGTCAATATGCTTCCTTGGGAAAGCGGTCAGGTTCTATAAATTGTTAAACTGTACTTCTTGTTGAATTACTCCATAGAATCACTGTCATTTATTTTGCTCAATTTTTTTCCTCTTAGTGCCTTTGAGATGCACTAGAGGTACTAGTGCCAATGCCCATATATGAACCTTTTGATAACCTTTACTCATCTATTGCAGTTCTTCGTATTTGGGATGTTCTTCTCTTTCAAGGAAACCGTGTGATGTTATTCCGTACTGCTCTTGCTTTGATGGAGTTATATGGTACCTGCCTTTATCACTTTTATGGTCTAATTCATCATTTTATGTTATGAATTTTTTGACTATATTTACATTTTCTTCCTATGAGGATCATGATTAATTTTCTCTCGATTCTATTTTTTCTCTCTCTCTTTATACATAATAGATGTGGATTGAGTTGCATCAATTTTTAGGATGATCCACATTTTTTATAAAGCATGTAAAAATTACAATGTTGTTCATACGATATATAAAAACCCTTTGTTTTAGCCATATATTTTATGAATCAAATTCATCCTATACAGGCAAGATCATCAACAATCAATTTATTTGATTTCAAAACATTAGAAAATCTCTATTCTATATAACTGTAATTGCCTTCGTTTGGTTAGAGCCGTCCATTGTGACATTGATTGATGTTCACATGATCTTAAAAATAATTGAAATCGTGTCTCCAATTTTAATAATAATATTAAAGAGAATGAATCATTTTTGTTTTACATATCAAGGTAATAACATCAAAATCTAATTGGGTGAAGAATTTTATTTCTTCTCCTTGAGGGAAATAAGTTCATCCATGCATATACACACAAACACAATATTTACATATGTGCACATACATATATAGCTAAATGCTTCTTCTTCTTCTTTTCATAAGTTACCAATTTATGTTAGTTATCGAGTTTACTGGTTTAGAAAATGTTTTTATCGGCAGGCCCTGCATTGGTCACGACAAAAGATGCTGGAGATGCTGTTACCTTATTGCAGTCACTTGCTGGCTCAACTTTTGATAGCAGCCAGCTTGTTTTGACAGCTTGCATGGGTTATCAAGTTATAAATGAAGCAAGACTGCTTGAGTTGAGAAAGAAGCATAGGCCATCTGTCATGGCTGTCATAGAAGAGAGAAGAAAGGGGCTTCACACCTGGAGGGACTCCCAGGGTCTTGCGTCCAAGTTGTATGGTTTCATATGTGATCCAAGATTCCAAAAAACCAACTCCGCAGAGGTAGTAAATGGTCCACATGAAGGTGATGGCGACCACATGGAGTCCGTGGATGAAATCTTTGGAAGTTTGACAATTAGTCATGAGATTGATTCTGAACCTGATCTTAAAAAACATGTAATGTATTTTTGCTCAACTTTGTTTTATGTGATGCTTCCAATTCAGAAATTCTGCATACAATAAAATGATACTGATAGAGTCATCACACTCCATCTCATAGTTGGTAGGCCACTTTAAAGCTAGTTAAGGTTTGACGGTAAGCAATGAAAGATTCCCTATTGGTTTGTTGCCGCCATTGAAATTCTATTCAAGCAATTGAATTCTAGGGTTAGATATTTTCATATTTCAATTCTATTGTTCATGAACAGAAAGGATCGATCATAGTGATTTTGGGGATTTATGAGGGTAGCAATTTAAGAGATAACTGTTAGAAACTGTTTTGGCACGGGCAATTGAATTCTAGGGTTAGATATTTTCATATTTCAATTCTGCTGTTGATGAACATAAAGGATCGATCATAATGATTTTGGGGATTTATGAGTGTGGCAATTTAAGAGATAACTTTTAGAAACTGTTTTGGCATGGGCAAATAGTACATAAAGTACACAAAGGAACTGTAGTAAGACTAATGATTCATATTCATATATGAAGTTTTATGTTGAGTGCAGATCTAAGACATTTGGTTAGTATTTCTTCTCTCTATTGACTTTCTTCTTCTTTTCTCTGCTTCACATCGGCTCCCTCCTATTCTCTCTTCTTTGCCTCTCATAGTTCTCTCATCCCCAATTATGCATCTCTATTTTTCTCCTTTTGTCTTCAACTTCTCTCTTTCCCTCTCTTTATCTCTTATTTTTTGCTCCATTAAAAATTCCTAGGTTCTTTTTTCACACTCAAATCAAAATTCCACTAGAAGTTAAAATTTTTTTATTCCCATCACTATCAAATTTTGTATTAGATTGTTATTAAAGTGAGTGAATTCGTTACTTTTTTTTTTTGGTTTAAAACAGTTGCCTTTGCTATTTTCTAAGGTGTTTATTGACTATTTTTAATTGTGTTTATGTACATTGCACAACCATTGCCCTATTTTTGATTTGTTGCTGGCAATCTTGCAACCCCCCCCCCCTCGCCAATCATCTCAAATTCCTGCTAGGGGTGTAAGTGAGCCGACGTTGCTCGAGCTCAACTTGATAACGAGCTCATGAGCCGAGTTTATCAAGCCGCGAGCTCGAGCTCGATCTAAAACTCGAGCTCATCTATTAAAAGAGCTTGATGTGGCTCGACTTGCTAGTTGAATATAGCTAATATGATTTTTTTTTTTAAAATCCAAGTCTTTTTTCTCTTAACAGAAGCTAGTAGTGCTACTAGGATTTGAAAAAAAGAAGATATTTTAGAGAAAAAGCTTCCCAATTGTAGCGGTTCTCAAGATTAGCTAAGGCCCTACCACCCTAGCATTAATAAAACTGCAGCAATTTAAAAGAAAAATAAGAAAAAATTATAGCCATTCTCAAGAAAAAAAAACAATTTTATGCTCTTTTCATGCAACAGGCTAATGCGTGTTTTCTTCTCCGGCACACACGATCAGTTAAGTCGTCATATGTATTTATTTATTTATTTGTATTTGCTTTAGTCATTTTCCCCTTTTACCCCTTACTTAAGGGTGGTCATGTGTAAGCCCAAAGGGCGATGTCGTCTTTTATTTTCGTCCATTGTATAAGGCTATTTATAGCCGTTATGTTATCTTTTGAAGTTAATGAATGAATGATAAAATTTTCTGCATTGTGAGTTTTTGCGAGAGCTTGAGAGTGTTTGGGAGTGAAACCTCTTGGAGATGGAAGCGGATCACCCACCAACCTTTGAAGAGTTCGGGTTCGTGGCTTGTTTTATCGGTTCTTTCTTTCTACCCTCCCTCCCTCCTTACTCCTCCCAGCTTCCACCGCCGGCCACATCCCCAACCCCACCACCGGCCTAGACCCTCCTCCCCACCCCACCTAGCCACCGGCCACCCAAGACGGTTCCCTTGATTGGGTGACCACCCGACCCATCCACCTTCCCCAAACCCTAGCCTAGCCGCCAGTTTCACCCTCCCCCTTGCCTTTCATTTCCTAATTCCACATAATTACCTTCCTTTCTTGCTTAGCTTGTCTTGGGAAAGATTTTTAATGTCAATCATTTAATTCAAATTTGAAATTTGAAACATTTCCTAAAATAAAATCCTATTTTAGGAAAGTTTCTAAAATCAAAACCAATTTGAATTTAAATTAGATTGGAATTAAATCTAGTTCCTTTAATTGGTGGATCCTATTTAAGCAAGCCTTAATACACTTTTTTAATTCCCTAAACCTCTCTCTATGCCGCCGGCCCCCTTCTTGGATTCCTTTGGAATTATTTCCAAAAGGCAAGCTTCCGTCTTGGAAACAATTCAAACTCTATCTCCCTCTCTCTTAGCTGCCCCACCCCTTTCCTAATTTCACCCAAATCCTTTCCAAATTAAAAGGATTAATTGGGGAACAATTGCTTGATTTCCCTCCACCTTCTTTCTTCTAAAATCTAAAACAAATTCTCCCCCATGCCCTCACCCTTGGTCGGGCACCTCTCTCCATATTTCCCTTTTGAATTCTTGAGATAATATCCTCCCTCTCGAGATAAGTCCGTAAGCGAAAGTCAAGACCTTCATCTACAGTACTACAACCAAGGAATCGATGAATGGCCGATCCCGACCTTGACTCCGGCTTCGTCTACAACGGGCAAGGGCACGCCGACATTCTCCGGTCAACATTCTTTGACGTCAACCCGGAAGTCGACGACTCCGTCGAAGAATATTTGGATCGGATAATCTTCATACTATCCGAAGCAATCGAAGAACAACTCGTCAACGTTCAGTGACAAATTGCTTCCGGTCTTCGACAAGGGTGAACTTCTTATCCTATTCATTTATCTTCTAAATCCTCTGATCTTGTAGGTGGTGATTCAAGCACAATGATTCGTGCCATGCTCTATGCCTTCGCTTAGTAAACGTAGGATTTGAGTTCTTGATTTTCTATGTGCTAATCTCGATGTTAACTTGGGATTTTCATTGAATAACTACTTAATTTGCATTTGGATTGAAATTCTAAATTACTTTGGTGATTCAAGTTCTTAGCATGTGATTTGGCCTAAGCGTAGCTGTCCCTCATTCGTTTTCTTTCATTGTTTAGTGGCTAACAATCTTAATTACTATTTGCTCTTACTCAAAACGTGCAAGTTCTTATCGCATTCATTTAAATCATATTTAGTCCTGCATCATTTTACCTTACCTGCATATTTTGATTTTGTTGCATCATTTGTTAACCTTCCAAAGTTTACGGTGGGTTCTTCTACTAGCTCCAGTTATATTTGATGTTGAGCAGGATTGATTTGATAATTTTACATCAAGTAATTAGGTGAGCACTATTTGTTAGTGACATTGTTTACATCAAGATGATTGATTCATGGGTGGCATATGATTATATTCAATGACTTTCTCCCACTTTGCATGATGAGCACATTCAACAGAACTTCTAAAGGAGAGTTTTCATACCTGGTAGAAATGGATAGAGATTTTTTGATCATGAAATACATTCACATCAATGATGTGGAGAGATGACTGCTTTCTTTTCTTTATCTGTTAATTTATTAGGAAACATTTTAGTTATTCTCTTTTATGATTTTTTATTTTTGAGTTATTTATTAACGGTATATTTTTTTCAAATCTTTTCAGACTTTATTTATTTTTGGATATCTTTTTTTATTAACCGTGTCTTTTTTTCTCTATAAATAAGACTGAAGGGCTTATTATGATTTATGTAATAAAGACTTATTAAATTTATTTTGTATCAACAACCCATCCCCTCTATTTTTTTTTGTTTTGTTTTTTTTTTTTTGGTTTTTTGTTTTGTTTTTTTTTTTAACCCATCCCCTCTTGTTATCTTCTATTTCTACTTAACTTTCACACATAACCCCTTTAAACATCCTCTCTCTATCTCAAAATCCCTTCTATTACACCTCTTTCTCTCTATTCCATTTTTCTGCCCCCCACCTCCCTCGTGCATCTTTCCCCATCTGCCTTCTCCTCTTCCACATACCCTCTATGTGTAACCCCTCTTGGTTTTCTTCTTTTTCTATCTGCAGCCCACCTGATCCATCCTCTTTTCTTGTATGTACTCCCACCAGTCTGTTTTCCCTCTTTGTGCCTTTGTCTCCCATCAATTGCTTCGAAATGTAGAAATATGCAAGATGCAAACAATTCATTGTCTCTTATAAATCTGCCTTCCTGAGTGATTAATATTTTTGTACATACTTAGGTAACTTGGTTGAAGGCTGAGTTGTGCAGATTGCTGGAGGATAGGAGATCAGCTATCCTCAGGTTAGTGTTCTTACGATAAAGATTAGCATATTCCTTTATTTCCAATTTCCTTAAAAATTTGTAAAATGTGTGATGCAACCGCCAATTTTAAGTGTATAAAACGTCATGGTTTTTATTTTATTTTATTTTATTTTGCCTATGAGGAAAAATGACTAGTAATGGATCTATAGAAGTTTTACGAACTTTGGATTTGCCACAGAGGAATATTCTTTTTGCAAATGCTGGGATCCTATGAAAAGTTATATCCTTGCTGCAATTTTTTTTTACATTGCATGTTTGATTTAGTTCCCCCAGGCATTTTGGTAGTGCTGGTTTGTTCCATAATCTAAAACTGTATACAAAGTTTGAATTTGCAACAGTGGAATTTTCTTTTTGCAAATGCTGGGATCCTTATGATAAGTTGTATCCTTGCTGCAATGTTTTTTCACATTGCATGTTTGATTTAGCTCCCGCAGGCATTGTGCAAGTGCTGGTTTGTTCCATAAAAAAAAAAACTGTATACTTCTATGATAAAGATAGGCATCAATACCCAGAGTCTTTGGCTGTTCACATTGCAATGTTTTCGCTGGATCTGGTCAAGGTCTTGAGGTTAAATTCATTTTACTTTGATTTTATGACCCTGGAGTAATGTGAAATGTTAAGGGACCAGTCTCAAATGGATTAATGGACTTGCTCATAGTTGATCTGATTTACAACCACATACTGTTGGCTGAATTTATTGTTTTCATACTGGTTTGGCTCCTAACGATTCAATTACAACTTCTATAAAATTTCTTCTGTTTTGAAAATTAAACAACACTCTTCGTAAGTTCAATTCATTTTTTGTAGCTTTTTTACATTTTTTGGTGGAAAAGAAGAAATTTATTGCAAATTCTGCTTTTATTCAAGCTAGGATGTCTCATTATTTCTTTGAGCTATTGAAGTTAGATGCTAAGTTTCACATCTTGTGTTTGGAAGGTGATATATGCTATCAATACGGGACATAATGAAGGGATTAACCTCAAGTCTTAAAATAAGTTTTAAAAGTCAATATCGATTGAACTGATATTGCTCTAAAAAAGAAAAGTTTCACGTAGAAGTAATTATAAGCATAACATGTGAGAGCAAGCAATGAAAAATAATTAATATTTTATTGTATCAATAAAGTCCATAAAAATATTACATCAAAGAAGTAAAACAAAAAATTATTTGCGAATGGCATGATTTTCTAAACTTATTTGAGATCTAGCCATTCACATGAGATGAAAAATTAATTCAAAGGTCCTACACATTACGAACTCTCAATTAGTTATAGGTATGCAATTAAATGCATTACAACCCATATTTATATGAAATAGGTCCAATCTACTCAACCTAGGTTCCCCCTAGTCAACTTGAATTAATTATTTGTATTGTGGGATATGGCCTACAATATCAAACTTAATCATGTAAATCTTTCTCAAAATCAATTAAATGCAAACTTAAATATAAGATTAAAACAAGTGAAATTAATCTATGCTTGCAAGTTAAGTAGAAAGAGAAAGGGGGAAGATGAGGCGGTGAATCCAACGGATTTTTGTGGAGGGAAAATCTACATATTTGAGAAAACTACAATTGAAAATTGAAGAAATTGTTTAGAGGAACATTCAAATTCTATTCTATTCATTGGAATCATTACATATATATATACATTATAGGAGAATAAACAGAAAAAGGAAAGATATTTATTCTAATTAATTATAATAATCATATCCCACATATCTCCAACTGCAGCCCTCGGATTACTGCCAACGGATTTCCATCTGCAGCCCTCAAATTGCTGCCCACAGATCTCCAACTATAGCCCTTGGATTGTTGCCCACGGATCTCCAACTAAAGCCCTCAGATTGCTGCCCGCGGATTGCTGATGTGGCCTCCCCTTAGCTACGTGATTCAACAACCCCCCCTCAAGTTGGGTTGTACAGGTTGTACAATCCTAACTTGCAAACAAACTTATCAAGTAGAGAGCCAGTAGTGCCTTTGTCAGAACATCGGCAAGTTGTTCATGAGTTGGTATATATACTATTTTAATTTAATGAGTTATCTATTTTTTCATATATAAATTATCTATCAATAGTAACATGTTTTGTTCTTTCGTGATGTACTGGATCCTTGGCCATACTGATTACGGTTTGATTGCCACATTTCAACTTTATCGTGCATCTAGTCTTTATTCCCAGTTCAATCAATACTTTTATGATCCAAATACCTTCACAAATAGTAACTGCTAATGCTCCCAGTTCAGTTTTTGCACTACTTGAAACAACAGATTGTTTCTTGCTCCGCCATGTCACTAGGTTCCTCCACACAAATGAACAATATCCTATGGTCAATCGACTGTCAACCTGGCTTCTTACCCAATTTATATTAGAATAAAGGTTCAATTTCCTATCTTCATTTTTCTTGAATAATAGCCCCTTTTCAAGAGTGTTCTTGATATATCTCAAGATTTGATATACTGCCACCATGTGCTCTTTCATAGGATTACGCATATATGGACTTACCATACTTACAACAAACCCAATATTTGGATGGGCATGAGAGAGGTATATAAGCTTTCCTACAAGACGTTGATATCTTCTTTTATCTATTGGAATTCCCTCCTTTCTATCCCAAATTTCTTCTTAGGATCCATAGGTGTACTGGCTGATCTGCATCCCAACATGCTAGTCTCCTTCAGTAGGCCTAAGGTATGCTTGTGTTGGGAAATAAATATACATTTGCTTGATCGAGCTACCTCCATACCAAGAAAGTATCTAAGTGATCTTAGATCTTTAACTTCAAACTCATTGGACAAAGCCTGCTTGATCTTCATTATTTCCTCTATCATTTTCAGTAAGGATGATGTTATCCATATAAACAATCACTACTGCTACCTTGTTTCTTTCTGACTGCTTCACAAATAAGATATGATCTGTCTGGCATTGTTTAAAATCATGGCCTTCTACATACTTTGAAAATCTTCCAAACCATGCTCTTGGAGACGGCTTTAATCCATATAAGAATTTCAGCCGTTTGCACACTTTATCCCTTCCATAAGACTTCTGAATCCCCATTGGAATCTCCATGTAGACTTCTTCTTTCAGGTTCCTATTCAAGAATGCATTATTGATATCTAATTGATGTAGGGGTCGATCTAAATTTGTTGCTAAGGAAATAAGAATCCTAATGGTGTCGAGCTTTGCAACAGGAGCAAAAATTTCCTGATAATCTATTCCATAAGACTGAGTGAATCCTCTTGCAACTAGCCTAGCTTTCAGCCTCTTAACACTATCATCCACCTTATGCTATACAGTGAACACCCATTTGCAAGTCACAACTTTCTTTCCTGGTGGGAGATTCGTAATTACCATGCTTGATTTTTTCCAAGGCCATAATTTCTTCTTTAACAGCTTGTCTCCATCCTGGGTGATTCAAAGCTTCCTGAATATTAGTAGGAATCTGTACATCATCCAACTTGGAAAGGAAGACTTGATAAGTGTTTGATAATCTGCTTTAGGAGAGAAAGTTTTCTATTTGATGTTTGGTGCATGATTCTTTCTGGCCATTTGATGACTCTATCTCTTTTTGAACTTTCTCAATTTTCTCCTCTACATGAATATCTACAGTTGCTGGATCCATTGAAGTAGAGTTGACAGGTACAAGATCTGTCTCACTGCTCGGCATATGCTGATTTTGCTTTCTTTTTCTTGAGTATACATATTGTTGTTCCTTAATTGCTACTATTTGCAGAGATTGATTAGGACTTATGGGTGGAGATAATAGGTCTGAAGGTGGAGTTTGAGATATAGGAGATATACCTTGGGAAATGCTCGTGGTTTGGATTTCTTATGATATTTGTTGATTTTGACTTAACTCTGTTTTGTAGTATAATAAGGAATTTCACTCCCAACTCTTGAATTTCAAAACTAGTGAAATATGGGTTGTTTTCAAAGAAGGTGACATCCATGATTTTAAATACTTTCCTAGAAATAGGGCAAAAGAATTTGTAACATCTTTTTGTTGGGGAATAGCCAATAAAGACACATTTTTTTTTATCTTGGGTCAAGCTTGCTTCTATATTGTGGATAGATATGAACAAGGCAGAGCCAAAAACTTGAGGTAGGTTTGATGATATGAAACGAGCATGAGGATAGGCTGAGTAAAGTTTGTCTAGGTATTTCAAATATTAGTATCTGAGTAGGTAACCTATTTATTAGGTATGCAGTAGTAAGATTGGCTTCCTCCTATAGATATTTTGGTACTTTTGTGAATAGCATAATAGATTTGGCTATTTTCAGGAGTTACCTATTTTTTTCTCAGCTATCCCATTTTATTGAGGCATATAAGCACATGAACTCACTTGGATTATCTCTTGGCTTGATAGGTATTCTCTTATGATAGAATGGAAGTATTCTCTCCCATTGTTTGATTTTAAGATTTGAATTTTCGTATCAAACTAGTTTTGAATCATCAGTTGAAATGATTTGAAGATTCTTTCAACTTCAGATTTTTTCCTTCATTAAATAAACCCAAGTGAGTCTAATATTATCATCAACAAATATCACAAACCACCTTGCTCCACTTATATTTGTAACCCTTGAGGGTCCCCAAATATCACTATGGATCAAGGCAAAGGGTTTAGAAGGTTGGTAAGGAATAATTGGTTAACATGATCTGGTATGTTTAGCCAATTGGCAAGTTTCACATTTGATTTGGCATGGTTTTGAAGAAAGGGAGGAAGGTTTGCCGCCGGCACTCATAGAAGGCTTAGAATTTTCCTAGCCTCTGATACCATGAAGAAATTATTTAGAGGGAAATTCAAATTCTATTATATTCTTTGGAATCATTACATATATATATACATTGTAGGAGAATAAATAGAAAAATGAAAGACATTTATTCTAATTAATTATAATAATCATATCCCATGAATCTCCAACTGCAGCCCTTGGATTACTGCCCACGGATCTCCATCTGCAGCCCACGGATTGTTGCTTATGGATCTCCAATTGTAGCTTGCTGCCCACGGATCTCCAACTGCAGCTCTCGGATTGCTGCCCATTCATTACTGACGTGGCATCTCCTTAGCTGTGTGATTGGATGAAAATAAAATTTAAGAAGGGAAAGAAAAGGGAGAAGAGGAGGAATACAGAGAAAGAGAGGAAGAAGATGAGAGCTCACCGTTGTTGTCGGCAGAGGAAGGAAAAATATGAGAAGGGCCACTCGACCGGTTAGGTTTGCTTGTGTGGGTTGATTTATTACACAGAGCATTTGTGCTCTTCATGCTCTTTGCTTTTATACTCAGCTTGGTGTGCTACTAACGGTGTATTGCTATCAGTCTGCATTGCTTGTATTCTAGAAATTTTTTTCTGTTCTTTTTATTTAGATGAATCAAAGCAAAATGCTAATTTTATTTAATTAGTCATTGGAAAACATGATTAGTTTTGTTCAAATTAATAACTTGCTTATTTATAGGCAGTCTAAAGTCTATTAACTATTTATGTTATCATATTAGGGCTGACGAATTGGAGATAGCATTGATGGAGATGGTTAAGCAAGATAACAGACGCCTCTTGAGTGCTAGGGTATGTTTACTTATTTGGTTTCTGTAATATGCTAGTTAAACAGAACTTTCTTCTTTTTTTTTTCAGATATTTATATGTGAAATACATTGTGTTCTACTTGTAAGATTTAAAAGGTTCTATAGTTTTATTTGCACGCAGTCTTCCAGTTTTTCTTACTGTTATACTACTAAAATTTCAGATATATCCTGGTTAATTTTACTGGTGAATTTTTTTTACCACATTATGTAAGGAACTTCCCTTTTTCCATTACCATGATGAAATCTTTTTTTTTTTATTGACACAATTTTTATAAATATCTGCATTGGAGGGGTTCTTGGGAACTAATTTCTGTGATAGGCTATGGTCAAGTTATTAGCTACAATGATCCTATGTGCATATGGCTGTAGTGACGTATGATTAAAAAGTTAATGTTTATGGATTGTTTAGCAAGACGACTTTCAAAATTAAAGGCTTATAAGTAATACATAAAAGAACGTAGATGGTGGCCAGGTATTTTCTTAGAATGCATGTGAACAAGGTTGGTTATATCTGGATTCTTTATGTTGAATATGAATTAGATATGTGATTAGTCTCTGGGATTCTCAATTGATTTAATATAACTTTATTCAATTGATTTGGGATGCTCTAGGTTATTCGTTCCTCAAGTCATGATGTGGTAGTCAAGCTTATTCTCGCTTAAATTGTGGGAGTGCTTTTGATGAGATATTTAAGTTGGAGTAGTTCTTAGAGATCAGTTTAGTCTACTTGTGGGAAGTAAATTATGTTGGAAGTAAACTAAGTAGGTTTGTGCCATCGATTTGGCATTATGTTGCATCCTTAGTTCCTAAACCTATCTTGAGCTAAGTGAAGAAGTGCATTGATAACATCTGGTTAGTTGTGTGAGGATTGAATGGTTTGTAGAAGACTCACTGGAGGGAACATGGCATAAATGGTTTGCACTTCAACAATTGGCTGAAGTTGATCGATGGAGTTGATGTATGATCATAATGAGTCGGTGATCTCAATTTGTTTACCAATGTTGAGTTTCTTCCCTTGTGAAATTATTAAATGCATGGTTAAAGGAAAAGGATGCAGGGCAATTTGAAGGATGATGGTAAGAAATAATAGCTTTCTAAGTGTTAAATTCTTCCATAAACAATACATGGTTTAGCAAGAATTACTACAAAAAAGATGCTCTTGTGGGTTGGCATCCACAACTCTAGGAGGCTTTTCCCTTTTCCTTTTCATTTAAAAATCCTTTATTAATTTATTTTGCATTTGAACCTTATCTAATTTTTTGTTTAATTGGTTTGATGCATATGTTTTGCATACTGTATTTGAAAATTAATGATGTACTAAGGAGAATTGAAAATTAATGTTATAGGAATGGAGAATATATTTCCTGAGAAGGTGTGGGGCTAATTATATATGAGTTAAAGGCTGATTTTGGGGTTTAGGTTCTTTTTTTTAAATGGATAGAAAGCTATCCCATATAATTCTGAAAGGGCATAAGGTTGGTGATAGGACTTGATGATCAAAACAACACACAATAATATAAAAAATAATAACTTGCTCCAACTATGATGTAGGCAAGGGGGGGGGGGGGGGGGGGGGGGGGGGGGGGGGGGGGGGTCAACTCAAACCCAAAATAAGTTGGTTTTGACTTCCCTTAAGCTTACAAGCTCAATGAAATTTGAGCTGGAATTTAGCTCATTTATGAGCTGGTTTTTAGTTCATTTATTGAACTAAGGTTTAGTTCATTATTAGCTAAGTTTTAGTTCATAGTTATGTTTTAATTAATGTAATTTTATTATAGTTTTTTATGTCTTAATTTAAGTTGTCCATTGGGATTCCAAAATGGCTTTTGGAATCCCAAGGAAATTTGTTCTCCCATGCCGTGGCTCCTTGGCTTCCACGGTTGGCTGCTGTTTTCCGTGCATGGCTCCTTGGTTCTCACGGTGGCTGCTGGTTTTCCGAACGGAGGCCTTCCCGTGGCTTTTGGCGCCTCGGTTCCGTGCTGCCTCTTGGGTTCCCGTGGATGTTTCCTCGGTTCCCTGGCTGGGCTGTTTTTCTGTGAAAAGCAAGGTGGCTTTTCCATGGCTTGTGTTGTTTGGATTCCTATGGGAATTAAATGTTGTGTCCGTTTGTATTCCCCCTTTCATACATATAAATATGAGGGGTTATGTAATTTTATGTAAAGTGATATATGAATGATTTTGGAAATGTAAACCTTCGGGTTTTGTTGGAAAAGCTTGCGAGCTTTGTCCATTTCTTCTTCTCACCTCATATGGAAATCTTGCGAGCTCTTTCCACCCTTCTTCTCGGCTTCTAACCTCTTTCGTCTCTCCGCAAGTGACCACCCCATCTGTATCCTTCGTCTCTAAGTGAAGCAAGTTTAGGGTGTCTTACTATTAGATTCAAGTTTGTAAGTCGTTTAATTTTAATCTGTGCTGTAAGTTTTGTTTTTTAATTTCTAAGTCTGTTTTAGATTTGAAATGTAAGAATTTGTTCTTCATATTACGTAGGAGTTTCTTATTTTCGTTACCTTTGTGGGCCGAGGTTCTCGGGTCCCCCATCCCCCGGAATTTTTGCCCGCATCAATATTACATTGTGACAATTTTTTAAAGTGATTTGAGGTAAAGTCATGATCATGATTAGCCTTATCTCAAAGATTTGATTGGGCTTATGATCTCTGTTCTATTCATTCATGTTGAATGCTAGTTTTGCTAATAGTTTAATTGATATTTCTTGATAACTTGAATCTGTTATGTTTATTATCTCTCGTTTTTTCTCTAAGAAAGTACATAAGGTATTCATGAAAAAAATTAATTGTGCTTTGAGTACTTGGATTTCAGCATCATCATAGCCTCAACCTATTTAGGGTCAAGTTTATGAATCTTCATTTACCATTTTTTTCTTTTTGAGTATTTGCATCATGCTTCAACTCCATCTTTTATAAACCTTGTCACACTTCTAGTCATATTATCTTTAGTGTATCCTTTTTTTTCTAAGCCTCAAACAATAATTTTATCCATGCAGCTTTGATGCTTTTTTGACCCTCCATTGTATGTGCTCAAACAACCCAAGTTTATTTCTCCTTGAACTTATCTTCAATAGGTGCTACTCTTACCATTTATATATTATAATCATTTCTTATTATACACTATAAAGTCTTACCACAAATCCATCTTAACCATTTCATTTGTGTCATTTAACTGGGCTATTAATTACTTTTTTATAATTCAACTCTCAAAATCCATATTAGTAGTTTTATGAAGTTTTACATTTATGTTTCCGTGATATTATTTTATCGTTCAATAATCTTGAGGAATTTTTTCACTTCAATTACTCAATATTTGTTTTAGAAGTTATATCTTTATCTATATTTTTGAACATTTGTATGATAGAGTCAAAATATTTAGCCCTCTCACTCTTTCGTAGCTTTTTATGTTTCAGTAATGTTTGACTAGTTAATATTCATTATTAACCCACGAAAATAATATATTATACTTAGCTTTTGTTCTACTAATCTTATGCCACCTTTTGTTTCTGAAGTCCCCTCCCCACGCCCCCGCTCAAACCCCCCCACCCCACCCCACCCCAAACCAAACTTTATCATCAATGTATCTGATGCGGACCGTCGCCGACCGGCAGAG